AAAATATTCACCTCAGAAGTCTTTCACTTCTTTGGCAAGATTATTTCAAGTATTTACCTCCTTAGGTTATCATGATTGGGATTATTTCCTTGAATTCTTTCTCTGTGGATTTAGCATTGGCCTACAAGAAGGTTACAGATTATTGTATGTTAATTATATTGTATATTCTGTCCTGCTACTTTGGTAAATGTGTTTATCAACTTTACCATAATTCTGCTAGACTCTTTTGGGTATGTTATGCATGAGGCTTACAACAACTAAAATGATCTAAAAATGAATAAAAGGCTTGGAAGATTTGCAGTTTCTGACTTTAAAAAACTTTCTGTGGTTAGACTGGCACCAGCTGTGCTGGTTTTCTGACAGGTGTACACCTGTGAAGGAAGGGGAGTCGGGAAATAAAATCCCACTGGCAATCAGTTGCTTTTCACTGAGAACACCATGACTAACAGGGAAATAACCATTTCCTCCTCAAATGATGTTGGAACAACTTGATAGACACATATAAGTTAATAAGCTTGGATACCTGCTTCAAATTACATAAAAATGTTATTCAAATTAAATAAAATTTAAGTGTAAGAAAAAGACTATGCAACTGTAGACAAATCTTAGCCATAGAAAAAAAAATTGTTAAATTGCCCATCATCAAAATTAATAATATTTTTCTTCAGAGAACACTGCAAATTAAAAGAAAAGATGGGACACATAGTGAATAAACACTGTTTCTCCACCATGTGACTATCTATTGTATAGAATACATAAGGAACTATTATAACTGGGTAATACAATTTGTAACCGGAAATTAGTCAAAGAATTTCAATGGTTATTTTTCAATAGAAATTATATAGGAAACCAGTTAGTAAGTGAGAAGATGTGATCTTAGAAACATCATCTAAAGACAAGGGAGATGCTGCTTTACCCCACTGAAACAGCTTCAATTAGAACAATAGGCAACAACAGGGACAAGGAGGCTGTTTGAAGCTGTTTGAATACTGGGAAGGGAAGGCTAGCATCTCACTGCCTTTGGAAGCAGTTTGGTTCCTCAAACATACACTTTGGTTTTAGCAAAGAGAAATAAGACACATGTCTAAGCAAAATTTCATACTCACACCCACAGCCTGACATTCATGCGAATCAAAGAGGAGAAACAAATCACGTGTAGGCCTTCCGTGGAAGAATGCGCACATAACCAATGGTACAACTGCAGTAGATTGGGAATTTCATAAGGAAAGTACAAGTAGATTCTCAGTACTAACCCTTCTTCAGTAGGCGGATGCCTCATTCCTTCTGAAAATATGCTACATGGACTATGTCTGACACTCATCCTTCTGTTCCAACTACAAGGGTTTCCTTTCCCCAGCCAGGCTCAGAGCGACAGCATGTCTCTAAGCAGAAAAGACCACTCATCCGAGTCTTACATGAGTGAGCTTCCCTATACCATAAGAAAAATATTCCTTAAATATGCTGGCCTCATAACTAATGGAGCATTATAAGAACTGTAACTCTGTATGAGGACTTCCTTTCTCTGGGGCAGCCTGAATTCACTGCAGTCTTTCCTGCAACCTCTGCCTAGCATTTCCACATCACGGTAAAGACCGCCTTTAAAACTTGTGTCTCTGTTCTGATTTTATGCATGCCTAATTTGTATGTCTTATCACCAGGCCAAGATTTCCTGATGCACTGTAGCACATGCATGCAGCAGACCATTATTTAAAAGGAATGAAACATTGATGCATTGATTCATAATAAAAAGGCAAAAGGAATCGCTACTTAATTACTGTGAGGGCCCAGTGTGCAGGTTTAGAGAGACCACAATCAGAAGGATGGGTACCGATTTATACAGTGGGGATGGTTTATTTTAGAAAAATTAAACCTATTCCTTAGAAATAGAGTGTGCAGTGCTGTGAGACACACAGACGTAGGAACATGGACATTTGAAGTAATTACATAATATTCTGACATTGCCGTTCAAGTTTGGACCCCCTTCCTTAACTTCCTAAATGTTATGGTAAATAAGCAAATTTGCTTATCTGTGCTCTAAAGTTTTGTGGCTTCTACAAATGCATGGAGTTATGTAGCCACTACCGCAAAGCCACGAAACCAGTCTTTGTCACTGTGTTTGTTTGCCTGCCAGCCCCACAGGATTGTCTTGTTAGAATGTCAAAGTATGCCTTCCATTCAGCCTGACGCATCTTACTCGCCTGCATGAATTTCAGGTCCCACTTTTTCATTCTAAGACTACCTTTTATTTATTTATTTTGTATTGATTTCTTTTATTGAGCTCTACAATTTTCTCTGCTCCCCTCCCTGTCTCTTCCTTTCCCGCTTCAGTCCTCCCCCAAGGTCCCCATACTCCCAGTTTACTCAGGAGGTCTTGTCTTTTACTTCTTCCCATGTAGATTAGATCCATGTATGTCTCTCTTAGGATTCTCATTGTTGTCTAAGTTCTCTGGGATTTAAAACCCAGTTTGACAGTGCATGAAGAAAATAAGCCATGAATTTGTATTGGAGGGTTTGGAAGGAGGAAAGGGAAGGGAAAATGTCATTATAATCTCAAAAGAATTTTAAAAGAAAAGAAGTTTGAAGTATATAGCACAGCGGAGAGGAAGGTATGGGAGCTTCCTGTTTTCTTCCTACTCCTTGACTTCTTTATCTCTTGAAAGAGTGGGAAATCATTTTGCATAAAGGACCTGCACTGAGAAGCCATTCCATACCTGTTATCAGCTCCTCAGCACTCCTGGCCTTTAGCATGAAAACCATTTCACTGCCAAGCAGTTTCCTCCTATTCACCAATTTACTTCTTGCATATTTGGCAATAATAAATATAACAGCTACAACTCTAATTCCTTATGGATTAGAGGTCTATTTAAGTTGTTTTTTTATCACCTTAATTTAAATTTGGCAAGTGATATCTATCAAAAAATGTTTATTTCTTTTAGAGTTTCCAATTTTGTGAAGTACTGGTTTTTGATTTATGACCTAATTAATTTTTGAATTTCCTTTGTGTTTGTTGGCATATTCCCCTTCTTGTTTCTGATTTTGTTAATTTGTTAATCTTTCTCTTTTATTTAGTTTGGATATGGATTTATCTATTATGTATATTTTCTGGAAGAACCAATTTTCTGTTTCTATACATTGTTCTCTTTCTGTTTGATTGATTTCAGACTCCATTTTGATTATTTATTGCCTTCTACTCATCTTTATGTGTTTACTTTTTTGTTATGGATCTTTCAACTGTCCTGTTAATTTGTTAGTATGAAATCTCTGAAATTTATTTATGAAGACAATTAGTGCTATTAAATTTCCTCTTAGTACCACTTTCATAGGGTCCAATAAGTTTGGGTATATGTATATTAATCTTCCTGGTATTTCAGATAGTCTTTATTTTTTTATTTCTGTCTTGACCCAATTTTAATTCAGTAGATTGTTCAGTTTCCATGAATTTGCAGGATTTCTGGTTTTTATTATTATTATTATTTTTTTTTGATATAAAATTTAATCATTGGTCTGAAAGGAAAAGAAAGATTACTCCATTTTTTTGTATGTATTGAGACTTGTTTTAAGGATTAACTCTTAATAAATGCTACAAAAAGTACATTTTAAAAAATGTTTTCTTATTTATAAAATGTTTTGGCTTTTATTTTTAAATATTCATTCACATAGTCCTTAAGGAAAAGAGAGAAAGTATTGATGTAGAAGTAACAGAACCATGTTTGCATTTGAGAAATGAGATGTCAGGTAAATGAGTTGGAAATATTTGGAGATATAGGTACAATATCACATCTCTCTTACATGCAAGAGAGAGGGCAGGTGGTCAGAGATGACTGGTATAAATGATTAAGGATATAGATACAGCTTCCTACCCTGCAACTTTCTTCCAGAAAACTGTGCTGCAAAAACTGTTTCCTTAAATCCCCCAAAATTAATTTTTCCTATTGAAAATTTCAGAATATGTTCAGGTATGATCCATGTGCTTACACCAAGGTCCCTGAATTGGTAGTTTTATTTTATTTATTTATTTTGGTTTTTTGAGACGGGGTTTCTCTGTGGCTTTGGAGCCTGTCCTGGAACTAGCTCTGTAGACCAGGCTGGTCTCGAACTCACAGAGATCCGCCTGCCTCTGCCTCCCGAGTGCTGGGATTAAAGGCGTGCGCCACCATTGCCCGGCCTGAATTGGTAGTTTTATAGCTGAATTCTTGTTTACACTAAGGGGTGCTAGTGATGTACATTAGTAATTCCACTGTCATTGTTATAATGTAAGTTCTTTTTTTTCCAGCATTTAAAGTAAGGATTTTAATACAGCTTTCTCATCGTGTGGTCCTGGCTTTGTGGGAGCCTAGCCAGTTTGGATGTTCTCCTTCCTAGACCAGGATGGAGGGGGGAGGACTTTGGACTTTCCACAGGGCAGGGAACCCTGACTGCTCTTCAGACTGGAGAGGGAGGAGGAGAGGAGTGGGGGGAGGGGGAGAGGAGTGGGGGGGAGGAGGGAGGAGTGGGAGGCTGGGAGGAGGCGGGAATTTTTTTTTTCTCAATAAAAAAAAAAGAATTAAAAAAAAGTTCTAAAATTGGTCTCAAAATAATATTGAAAGAATTTTTTAGAGACTGAGAATTTAGGAGCATTTATTTTGGCAAATAGAGGATTAACTTTTGATTTAAAAACTGTAAAATGTGGCCAGGCAGTAGTGGTACACACCTTTAATCACAGCTCCTTGGGAGACAGAGGTAGGTGGATCTCTGTGTGTTTGAGGCCAGTGATCTACAAGAGCTAGGTCCAGGACAGGCTCTAAAGCTCCAAAGCTACAGAGATACCCTTTCTCAAAAACCTCTCCCCAAACAAAAACAAAAACAAAATCCTATAAAATGTTCCATTAATTGCAATATTTGAAGTATTTTTGTTTTCGAAAATATTTCCCTCTACATTTCAAACAGAAATTGAAAAAACAATAGGGAAAAGTATATTTAGTGTACAGAAACACTTACCACTCTTAAATCTCGTCTTTCAGGAAAGAACGGTGACAATCAGAAGGCAGACAGTAGGAGGATTTGGATTAAGCATAAAGGTAGCTACTTTTCCAGTCTTCCTTTGCAAAGGCTGAGCTGTAAAGGCTAACATTTTGTGTACATTAAAATGTTGGTGACTCATAACAGAACAAGAATGGCTCTGTGATGTTTAGAGTAAACTGTAATCTGGGATGCTCTTATAGAACCTGACTGTTATTATCTTCTGATTTAACTATTACAAGAAAGGACCCGGGACCTTACCTAATATTAAGTAGAACTACTTCAAAAAGAATTCATTTCTTTATGAATCTTTCTATTAATTCTGGTGGCAAGAAGCTTTCCTTTATCATCCAGCAGCTTGGAAAGTTGGTGGATAAAAAGGGAACAAGTCTCTATAGAAATGGGAACAATTGAAACATGAATTGTATTTTATATTTATTATTTTACTCAATTTTCACTTTGTTAAAGAGATTGGTAAATTTCATTTATCAATTTCAAGTTCTCTCTAGTTATTTAGCACTGAGAATGAATCATTGAAAGAATGTCTGTTTGGTAAAGTACAAAAGTCAGAGAATTGAAATGTACGAATATCTGATGCTTGGAATCCGAAGTAACAAATATCAAGATACCTTGCATTCTTTTTAATGGATTTTGAACAGAATGCAACTATGGATATTAATTTTTTGAGAAATAAAAATTTTATAGTCGATTGTTACTAATTATTAAATATCATTATAGTACTTCAAAAAATTTAGCCAAATTTCATGGAAATGATGCTTACTTAAAAGAAATTCTATAAATTTGCTTAAATTCTGCTTGGTATTCACTACATGTACTATTTATAGTTTTCAATGATTTTATATTTATTTATTGGCTAAAAAGTGACTTAAAAATATGATTTATGACTGTCTCTTTCTAGGGAGGTGCAGAACATAACATTCCAGTTGTCATTTCTAAAATCTCCAAGGAGCAAAGAGGTAATGTGCATAACTAACCTTGTAGCTGTCAGTCCTCTGTAATACCATGCTCACTGATTGGTATGTGAGTGGTTCTCCTGGATACGCAGCTTCATCCAGTGAGAGGTTAAGTCTGATTCTTCAGTTTCCCTAGGTTCTCCTTCAAAAGAGAAAGGGAAAAGTCATGGACTCGAATAGTTCAAATGACCGTATATGAACCGACCATGTATGAAATGGCCAAATATGAACAGCTTCTGAACTGTTGGTTAAAGACACAAAAATTAAGTCACATTTCATGGACAAATACAGATGCAATTGTTTTTCTCAATTTTACTCACTTTCTTTGAGGCTACATCTAAAACCCATCATGAATATACAAATCAAGGGTTTATTGACAATCAGGAAAACAGCAAAGTATTTCCTCAAAAGCATGAAACTGACAGATTGAAAGTCTTAGATATTTGCACAGAGATATCATAGTATAAAGGCATAAAAAGTTGGTAACCCACTAAGAAAAGGTATCAATTTTTAATGAATATGCATATATACATACATAATATGTACATATTATATCTCTATATATTGACTTTTGAGAGCTATTAATAACAAGCTTTGATTAAATTCGTATCATTACTCTGACCTTTCAAGATCAAAATACAGAGTACACAACCAGAGTGTACAACATGAGAAGTCAACCATGCTTCTGTGGAAAGCCACACAACCAAGATTATTTGGACAGCACAAATTGGTCTTGCTGAAAAAGAAAAAAAAATCACAAAATTGGGAGGGTACTGATCATGTTTTAAGAGCTATAAGGTCATAAAATGATAGAACCAAAAGGAAATGTCTGCCCATTTCAGCAACTGAAAAGAGATAAATCATATTATTAATTTACGTTCTTTGGGGAATCTTATAAAATGCTCCTAATTAGTTTAAAACACTTATAATTAGTTTACTGTTTTATCCTTAATTAAGACAAAACTCTTTATTTGTCTGACAAATGCCAAGGTGTATTCAATTGTTCTTCTTCACAGCGGAGCTTTCAGGACTGCTTTTCATCGGAGATGCAATTCTGCAGGTATATACATCTCATTATTGTCTTCGTGGATGCAAACAAATCCAGTCTGTAATACACTATGTGAAACTGGGAATTTCCTTCCATTGCAGATAAATGGAATTAATGTGAGGAAATGCAGGCATGAAGAAGTGGTAAGTTTGCTTTTTCCTGATGCTATCATTTCTCAGAGTCATGTCAGTTACGAAGGTACAAAATTATGTAGCATGTTACTGATCTATCAATTCCTTCGATTCAATTTTGACTCTTCGAAATACAGTTAAAAGTACTATCATAATGAAATGTATCTCAAAGTCAAAATTATATATGTAAAGTGTTCAAATGCTTGAAAGCTTATGACAAAAGAATTGATTTCTGTAAATTTTTAAACAGCATTTGGGGCAAATGGAAATGTGCGCATGCGCAGTGTGTGTGTGTGTGTGTGTGTGTGTGTGTGTGAACAGGAGTGCATTTAAAAAGAGAAAAGGGTGATGAAAAGACAAGAAAAGAATTTGCCAAAATTTTCATTGTGTTATTTTCTTGAATTTTTTCCATGTTTGGAGCAGCATATTACAGACATTCTAATTTAATACAACTGGGACATAGAACTGAGTTTCAGCAACCACTATAAATTGTTAAACAGTAGCTGTCTTCTAATCCATACTTCAATAGAAAGGTTAAAGAGTCCCTATTGCAGGTAACGAAATGGCATTATAAAGCTAAATGAAAGTGTCAGGCGTTTGGGGAAATATTGGTCACAAATGAATAAATACCATGAAGAGCTCATTGAATTTTGTACCATTTCCTAATGAAAGAGATAAAGAAGAATATATTTAAAGTATGCTCAAGGGTCAAAAAGAAATTATTTTGATTCATTTATACGTTTAAAGTCTCAGCAAGGAAGCTGCAAGTATCTGTGTAAAACTTCCATTTCCCAAGTAGTGCTGTTGCAGAGAACTGGAAATCATGGTCTGCTGGTGTTTCCCAATGACTTTGCACTCACAAAAGCATATTCAAATCACCCTTTTGCCACTCTGTGTTGAAAATCCTGTACAAGTCTCCGATTTCCTATGAATCTCTGCAGAGCAAGGTGACATTTCAAAGGACAATTTGCAGCAGATGAAAGACCAGCGCTGTGCCTGTTCTGCAGATCCCAGGGTACCTTTAAGTACAGTCACATAAACAAAGGAACTTTGTCTTCTGTCTTGGAGCTCATTATCCAGAAAGAAAAAAAAAAACAAAAACAAAGTGCATTTTCTTTTCAACCACATGCTGCTAGTTTGAATCATGCTTGTAATTTGTTCTTCAGAGGCAGGTAACTAGTTCAGACCAACTATGCTAGAACTTTCTTTTATTAAACAGATAATCATGGCATGGGAGATTAATATTAATATCCTGACTTAGGATGGTATGTATGCTGATTCTAAAGAAAGTCATTAAACATTGTATTGCTTATTATACATTGTTACTCATAATAAAGATATTTTTGGAGAAGCTTAATCCTATTAGCTTTGAAATACAGGTACCATTTTTGGTTGTTCTTTTTTACTATTATTTGTTTGTTTTTGTTTGTTGAAGCAGGGTCTCTGCATAGACCTGGCTGTCCTGAAACTCACTATGTAGACCAGATTGGCTTTGAACTCACTATGATCTGGCCTCCTCTGCCTCCTGTGTGGATGAGTCACCAAATCAAGCTATACTAATGTTTTTATTGAACTGTAACCTTTGACTTTACAAAAGCAATTAGATATTTTCCCCTCATTGTTTTAATTCCTTTGTGAATGGAATCATTACCTTACAGGGGCTGAAGTGTTAATTTCATGTTGAAGAACAAATGTATATGACCTGAAATTCACAAAAGCTCAAAGTATGAGTAACTGTGAAGGAGCATGCTCATACGAACAGTTCTACAGCTCCAGATTCCAAAATAAATCGATGAACACAACAACATGGTAGTTTGAATTTCCTTTCTCTTTCTTCCATAGATAATCTTTTCTCTCTCTTTTTTATTAAATATTTTACTTTTCATTTTTTTTTTCGAGACAGGGTTTCTCTGTAGCTTTGGTGCCTGTCCCGGAATTAGCTCTTGTAGACCAGGCTGGCCTCGAACTCACAGAGATCCTCCTGCCTCTGCCTCCCGAGTGCTGGGATTAAAGGCGTGTGCCACCACTGCCCGGCTTTACTTTTCATTTTACATACCAACCGTAGTTCTCCTTCCTTCCCCTTCTCCTGCTTCCATCTCCTGCTTCCCATCCCCCATTCATTCCTCAGATGGAGTAAAGTCTTCCTTAGGAAGTCAACAAGGTCTGGCATACCAACTTGAGATAGCATCAAGCACTGCCCCTCTTCCCCGAATCAAGACTGAGCAAAGTATGGCACCATAGGGCATGGGCAAAGGAGCCTTTCTTTAGTTAGTCCCTGGCACCATTAGAAATGATTAATTCAGTTCCGCTTGAGTATCAGTTTTATTCTGTGGAGGTCATCTGCCCCCCTGGGGAAGACTTGCTTCTGGGTTTGAATGCAGGTTTGTGTCTGTGTAAATTGATTGTACACTCTCCACTGAGATCACTCAGTAGGGATTCATTAGCCAAATCGCTTAAATGATCTCAGTGTGTCAATCAATTTAGACTTAAATCAATTTAGACTTACATCAATTTAGACTTAAATCAGATCTGGGCTTCACACATTGCCCAGGTCCTTTACTTGAAGTCTTAGAACAAGATTACTGAAGAAGGAGAATTACAGGTTCCTCAGTATAAACTTCGAAACAGTGTGTCGGGCCACCTTGGGCAGTGTGAGATGGTGTGTCCTAAATCTCAGAAGCAGCAATGTACAATTATTGTCTAGATTGCTTTCTGATGATGTAGATTCAATTTATTGAATTTACGGTGTCTGTGCCTCTGTTATTCATTAGCAAGAATAAGCTGATGAATGTTGCCATGAGACCCAAATGAAATAACACATGATTCTCCTAGCCAATATTAACACATAGAAAACAATGAGTTCCATTTTCTGTCTCTACACACACACACACACACACACACACACACACACACGCAGACACACATAGATATGTATATTGTTTTGATAGATTCCTAGCAGGAATCTGGATGGATGTTCATGAGAAGAAGGACATAGTCTTTTGAGGAACGAGGGTCTTTTTTTCATCTTCTTAGGACTTCTTTTTGTGTCTTATGTTCCATTTCCTTCATGTTTCCAGGGATTCACCTGACTGGATCCACAAGAGAATGAAAAAATGACAAACACAGGTAGAGAAACTGGAATTGTGTAGACTGGGCTCTTTGGCAGAGAATCTGCGGCACCCAGGAAATCTCAGTGTATTTATTACCTACAGCTGAAAAGCAGGGTGGCATATGCTATAGACAGCTGAACAAAGAACTGGCGTTTACAGCTATGCAGCTGAGCAAGGAGGCAGGTTTGGCTAATCTCCATAGGAGCAGGGTCTTTGGAGGAGCTGTCTTCAGGCTGTAAACATCCAGGGAGAGAAAGCAATGGTAGAAAATTTCTGCATATCACAGTCAAGATTCACACTCAGAATTGAAAAGGCCTTTTCTGTTCACTTGTCTCAGATCTAGGAAGGTTTTGGCGCTCTCGATAGGAGACCTTTATATGTCTGTGACCATGTCAACAGCACACATGACTTCACTTATGTCATACACTTGTGTGTACATGATTCATCACCTTTAAGCTTTAATCCCATAATATCAAAAACCCCTAATGTTACAGGATTTTTCTTTAAAGAGAACTGTATCTATTTTCTTTGCTGTGTTAAAATTTATGCTGCTTGGTCAGGAATTGTGGCACACAAATATTGTAAGTACTTGGGAGATAGAGGCATGTGGATCTCTGAGTTCAAGGTCAGCCTGGTCTATCTAGCAATTTTCAGATCAGCTTGTACTATACAATGAAACTGCAAATGTCTCAAACAGTAACATAAAGAAAAAAGGAAAAACGAAGAAACAAACAAAACAAAACAAAATTTAGATGCCAAAATGGTTCCGCCTTCCTGTCTATGAACTCTAAGCACATCAAACTGACATTCACCTTTATCTTGCTTTTCACATAAGTCTTCTCTTCATAAGGTCAAATATCAGAACTTGATTGTGTGACACTCTGTGAATTATACTGTCACTGAGTTCTGTGTGTTTCTATTCTGACAAAAACTCTATGTGGCTCAAGTCTCGTGGATATGTGGGCAGAGTTTGTTTTGTTTTGCAGAATTTAATAACTAAGAAAACATGTAAAATGTCGGAAAAATATTGGAAAGAGGAAATATGAAAATAGTGTTTGACTTACAGTAATCATCATAAAGTAAGAGTGGGTGACTAGTATGCTTGATAGATGTAAATAGGAAATACACCAAAATGCATAATAAATACAAAATATGCACTAGGAATCAATATCAGAAAAGAACCAGCTGATTGGAGAGTTCCTAATTTCATTTTCTTTATTTTATGTTTAATTTTTATTTTTGTTTGTATGTATATGCATGTTTTGCTTGCATATATTTCTTCATACCACTGACATGGCTGGTGTTGGTGGAAGCCAAAATAGAGTATCAGACTCCCTGGAACTGGAGCTACAGAGAGTTGTGAGCTTCCCTGTTGGTGCAGGAATGAAGCTGTGGTCCTTTGGAAGAACAGCTTATGCTCTTAACCACTAAACCATGTCTCCATCCCCAAGAATCCTGAAGACAGTAATGTAACTGAGACTTCCATACAATAAGACTTTTAAAATTAGTAAATAATCATCATGCAGAGCCAAATGAATGGATGAGTAAATTTTTTTTACAGAAGTTTAATTCTATATAAGCATTTCTGCCTTAAACTTATGAATGGCAGGAAAGGGTATGGCTTCTTTTTTCTCCATGACTCTTACAATGAGAAATCATTCCATAATTTGAAATGTGAATAATTTTATCTTCATATTAAACTTAGGACATTGGATGAAGTTCTAAAACATAAAACCTTTATATATCTTGTGAGAGCCAAATGAGGAGCTAAAATTTTATCATTTAAATTAACCCATTTTAAGGGAAGCAAATATTTAGAAACTAATACACAATGCTAATTACTAACATTTTCACTGTTTTAGTAGAAGCTTTACTTAATTCCAAAATTTCACATGGGGATAA